CTTTTGATATATTTTTGAATTTTGTTTGCTAATGTTTTGTTGAGGACTTTTGCTTCTATGTTCAGCAGGGATATTGGTCTATATTTTTCTTTTTTTTATAGTGTCTTTGGTTTTGGTGTTGGAGTAATACTGGTCTTGTAGAATGAGTTTGGAATTATTCCCTCCTCTTCTATTTCTTCAAATACTTTAGAAGTATAGGTATTAGCTCATCTTTAAATGTACATAGACTTCACCTGTGAAGCCATCTGGTTCTTGACTTTTGTTTTTTTGGAATTTTTTTGTTACTAGTATTTGGTCAGTTTAGATTTTCTGTTTCTTCCTGGGTTAGTTTTGGAAGGGTATATGTTTCTAGAAATTTATCCATTTCTTCTAGGTAGTCCAATTTATTGACATATAATTTGTCATAGAATTCTCTTATACTTCTATGAATTTCTGTGGTGTTGGGTTGTAACTTCTTTTTCATTTCTGATTTTGTATCCTCTCTTTTTCTTAATAAGTCTTGGCTAAAGGTTTATTTTGTTTATCTTCTCCAAGAACCAGCTATTGGTTTCATTGATATTTTTTATAATTTGCTCTACTTATTCTAGTCTTTAAGATTATTCATATTTTTTTCTAATATTGCATTTTTTTTGGATATAGATTTTTCCCTAAGTACTACTTTAGTGACATAATGTGACATGTTTTCATTTTATTTGGGTTGAGTGTTCCATAAATGCAATTAATCCCTGTGATGATCCATGATGGCATCCAAAGTGTCCTGGGGATCATCTCTATCCCAGTCAAGTTTAAAATGAGAAAGAACATGGAGAAAGTGCTTGGGAGGTTTTTGTGACATCACTTCCACTCAAATTCCATTGGCTAGAACTCAATCATACGGCTTCACCTAATGGTATGGGAAGCTGAGACATGTAGTCTAGCTTTTTGCCTGTGAAAAAGAGGAAAATGTATTTGGACAAACAGCCAGAACCCTCTTTATATTCTCTGGAAGAATTTGTATAAGATAAGAAATATTTGAATCATGGGTATACAGTAGAAATTATAGTTATTTCGGCCTGCTGTTTTCTTTGGGGAAAATTTTGTAACTGCTGCCTCAGTTTAATGGATACATGTTCGTTTAGGTTTTCTATTACTTCTTGAGTCACTTTTTGTAGGTCATTTTTTAGGTACACATAATTTACTCTAATTTTTGAAATACAGTAAATATATACATTTGTTGAAAGTATTTTCTTAATTTAATCTCTGCTCTAAGGGTTATATTCTTTCTTCATTTTCATTGTTATACCTTCTTTTTTGTGGGGGCTAATCTTACTGGAGATTTGTTGATCTTAATTAACCTTTACCAAAATATAAATTTTTCTTTCATTGTTTTTTTAATTTATTTCTTCCTCTACATTATTTGGGCTTATTTTGTTGGCCTTTTTCAAATTGTAATTTGAATGCTAAGCTCATTATTTTTCAGCTTTCATTTCTAATATATTCATTTAGAGTCATATACTTCCCTTGAGTTTGGCTCCAGCTTTGTTGATGCAAGTATTTACTCATAGTGCTTTGCTTTCATTACTGAGATGTATTTTCAAATTCCCATTGATTTCTTCTTTAATGGATATGTTATTTACAGTGTAATCTTAAATTTCCACAAGTATGGGAGCTTTTCTAAGGGCATATATAGATTATTAATTTTAAAATTAACTGCATTATTATCTGGAATAGGCAAATCCAGAGACAGAAAGTAGATTAAAAGTTACCAGTGGATGGAGAGAGGGGGAATGAGAAGTTAGTGTTTCATGGGGTACAGACTTTCTGTTTGGGGTGATGAAAAAGTTTGGGAAATAGAAGGTGGTAATTGGTTGCATATTATTAATGTAATTAATGCCATAAAATCATACACTTAAAAATGGAAGATTTTATGTTCTCTATAAAATTTAATATGCTAAAATCCATTGAATTGCATACTTTAAATGGGTGAATTATTTGATATGTGAATTTTATCTCAATAAAACTGTTTTTTAAAAAATTAAATGCATTATTGTCAGAGAATGTGGTATATGTAATAATGATTCTATTAAACTTGTTTGGTCTTGCTTTATGGCCTGATATATGCATTTTAAATTTGAAATATTTTCCCATTTAATATGTTATTAATTCCTTAAAACAGAATCTTTTTTATTCCTTATCCTAATTCTGTGAGGTAGATAGTATGAATCCCATTTTTCAAATAAGAACATTAAAATCCAATCAACATAATAAGTAACTTTTCCAAGTTCAAGATCTAGTCAGTCTTGTAACCATTCAGCAGACACTAATACCAACAACAAAAAATCAGTATGGTCAACTTTTTATATTGATTACATATGAGCCCTGCCTATATTTCACTATAGATTTTTTTAACTTTCAGGGCAGAGACTCATTGTTATTAAATGAATCAGACTCTCATACACTGCTGATGGGAAAGCAAGGTGGTACAGCCACTTTAGAAAGCAGTTTGGCAGTCTCTTATAAATTTAAATATATACTTGCTACAAGAGCCTACTGAAATTAAAACTTATGTTTAAACAAACACCTGTGTGTAAGTGTATAGATGCTTTATTCCCAACAGCCCCAAACTGGAAAAAACCAAACGTCTCTCAGTTGGGGAATAACAAACTGGCACATCTATGAAATAGAATGTTACTCAGCATTAAAAAGACAAACTATTGATACATGCAACAACATGGATGCATCTCAAATGCATTATATTAAGTGAAAAAAGCCAGACTCAAAAGGCCACATGCTGAATGATTCCATATATATGAAATTCTAGAAAAGGCAGAGGTATAGGAGAGAGAATAGGGATTGAAAATAAACAGTGGTTGCCATCAGTTAGTGCTTGACAGCAAGAGGCAGTATTGGGAAATTTTTGAGGGTGATACAGGTGTTCTGTAACATGGTTGTGGTGGTAATCAAAGACTGCATCTTTCAAAACCTATACACACACATAGAAAGTAAATTTCACTATTTGCAAATATAAAATGTTTTAAAGTAAAAATCTACTTAGGTTGTTTCTCTGAATATTTCTTCTCTGCTGCTTTTCTAGTCCCTTTTGGAACCCCCATTACTTTTATGTTATATATTCTTAATCTTTTCCAAGTATTTTTCATTTCTTTATGTAAATTAGGTGAAGTTCTCAATATTATCTTTCATTTTATTAATTATTTATGTTCAAAGAAGAGTTTACTCCATGTTCAAACTTTAAATTTTTTAATTTTCAAGATTCCTCCTTGGTCCTTTTTTGAATAGGTCTTTCCTTGGTGGCTTAGGACTTCCTTCTCTTGGAGATTTTGGTGATCTAGAGTCATTCACTATGCCAGAGGATGGTTTGGCTTCGTTCTTGCCTCAATTACTTTCTCTGCTGCTTCTAGTTAATTCTTGCTTCCAGATCTCAGTGCCTAACATGCCTGTGGTTTTAGCCCCTTCTTATTTCTCTTTTCTTTTGCCCGTAGAAATCTTTATCTTACATTTCTTTTTAATTTGTTAAATTAAACACAACTATGTTTTTTTAATTTGTTAAAATGTGGGTTTTATTTACCAGCTTGTATCACTTAATACTATCTGATATTTCTTTATATCACTAAGCAAGTAATTCTAAACAGCGGACAATTTTGCCCCCAGGATACATTTGGTATTGTGACATCTGAAGACACCTACCACAATGCACAGGACAGTCTAGACAGTCCCTACAACAAATTATCTGGTTCAAATATTAATAATATTGAGGTTGAAAAACCCTGCACTAAGTAAAGAATGCTCTATTTTTTAGACATTGTCATAACTTTCATAACTGACTTCCTAATGTCAGACATTTAGAGGATTTTTGTTTTTGTTATGTGTGTGGCACTTTAATAAATAGCCTTATATAACTTTTTTGGTGCCATTAATTAATTCCCAAATGTAGAAATTTCTGAACCCAAAGAAAACTAATATTTGAGAGGTACCACCTTGAAAGCTGGAAATACTTAGGAAACAAAAAAGTATGGGAACAGCAAAGTCTTTATCATGTCATATCCTTAGTGGAACTTACAACATGTTTCCATTATTAGTTTCACACTTTTAAAGACCTATTATTTTTATACTTTAGAACCCTTTTTTTCTAAATAATATACTCCTAAATTGTCTTAAGGCCCTTCAAGTTCTATACAGCCTTCTGTGAAAGCTTTCTACAGCTTCCTTTATGCTTAGGTAGCAGATTTCAGAACTTTAATGAACACTTGACCAACCTGACTATAATTACCTCATATTTTCTTTATTCCTAATTCTTATTAATATATAGCAGTAGTAACATGATTGGTAACAAAGATAATAGAAAAAAACAAAACTGGCTATAAGTTGCTGCCTTTAATTCAGTTACTTCTCTTAGCTAGGGCCCAATTTTATCATCTGTAAAGTGAAGGAGTTATACCATATAATTCCTATAGGCTTTTCCAATTATAAACTTGTGATATGCTATTATCTTTTACTATTCCCTAGATAAAGTAGGGATAAAACATTCAAAGATTTTTAAGATCTTAAAAAATTCCTTGTATTTGTCCTTTATTATCCTCATCTACTGCCTTGCAGTAATTGATGATACAAATCTTAAAATGAAAAGTGTTTTATACAAAGAATGGTACTGGAAAAATAACAAATTCACAGCTGGATTGGGAAGGGAAAAACCTAGATAAGAAAAAAAGGAAGTGAAAGCAGTACAAAAACAAACAAACCCTAGGTCTCAAATCCTAGTAGAGTCAGAAAAACACACTCTGGGCCCCAATCAGCATGAGGTCCTGTGTATTTCTGAAACTCAAGGTCTTGAAATTTATGAGAATTGCACAGGACCAGAAATCAGCTCTCTCAACCTCCTAGCTAATGCCTTAACACTACACTATATAATATTACTTGCAATATTGTCATTTAATTTTACTGAGGAAATGAACATACATGAAATAATCTTTTATAATTTATTTGTATAGGTTTTTTAAACCTATTTTCTGGCTGTTGGTGCTATTACTTTGGGAATTGGTTTCTTTGCTTTGGCATCAGCTTTATGGTTCCTGATCTGCAAACGAAGGTAAGTTCATTTGAATATTTTAAAAATTGTTTACTTTTAAAAATTCAGTGAAAGACTTTTTCAAATGATATTAAACTTAACTGTAATAGTATTGAATCTGTCATTTGAGGTTTGGTTATAGACCCTTTGAGGAAAAAACTTAACATGTTTAAAATAGTCTGAAAAGAGAAACCCCAGTCATATGAAAATTATAATAGTCCAAATGATATAATAACAGTCTTCATGAGTTCAAATTTTAAGAAATAATGAGACATGTTTTATTCTCTAGAAGACATGGGTTTGAATTATCATGTAAGACTAGAAACTTTTTAAATGTCTGACTACTAATTTAGAGCTTAAAACATTACTGAAAGACCAAGTCTCTTTCTTTAGGAAATATTTAAGAAAAGAGCTGACATAAAGCTCTGGTATGGTCTAAATGTCATCTTTTGCCAGTGACAGAAAAAAAGATATTCGACAGCTCAGTTTCTTTCAACCCTAAATTTGGTGCTTTTGATAGTTAATCAATTCAGAATTTGCTTTGTCTGATGTTTAAAAAATACAAAATGTAATATGATCTTCCACACACTCTCCCAGTATTCCTTATCTCAGCAAATGTGTACTACCTAGCTACTTGCATAAGTCAAAAAAATAAAAATTACTCACTTATTCGTTCTTTCAACAAATTTTTACTGGGTGCTTGCCATTGTTCTAGGTACTGAGGATACAACTATGAACAAGTCAGACAAGGTTCCTGTTTCATAGACTTGCACTGCCACTGGGAGGAGACAGCTAATCAACAAATGAAGTGGTCAGGGAATGTCTCTCCAAGTGGGCAGTATTTAATCTGAGATCTGAGTTAAAAGAAGGAGTCAGACTTATGTAGACCTTGTGGAAGACTAAGCTGAAGGGATAGCAAGTACAAAGATCGAAGTGGGAATGATCTCGGTATTGTTCAATAAACAGAAAGAAGGCCAGTGTGAACAGATGACATGAGAGAGGGTAATGATGATGAGATTGAAGAGGTAGATAAGGACCAGACCACATAGGAATATGTAGGATGAAATAGTGGGATTTGGATTTTATTATTTGTGCCATCAGAAAGTTTTAACCAGGGGAATGACATTATGATAACAGCTAACACTGAATGCTTACTACATACTGTTCTAAGTGCTTTACACATTATCTCACATAGACTTCCTAACAGCTCCATGAGGTAGCAGTAATAGTATCTCCATTTTAAAGTCACCTATAGTTTATTTACATTTTTTATAACACTTTTTAAGTGAGATATAATTTATATACAATAAAGATAGATTTTAAATGTATGATGATGAATTTCAACAAATATATTCCCATGTAACTACAAACCAGTCAAGATATGGAACTTTCCTATAATCATGTAAAGTTACCATATGCTTCTTTACAGGCATCACTCCCAGCACCCACCTAGACATAATCATTATTCTGATTTTTATCCCAATAGGTTAATTCTGCCTATTCTTGAACTTTCTGTAAATGGAATTATAGGGACTTTTTATATCTGTTTTTTTTCCAATTAACATAATACTTTGAGATTCATTTATGTTGTTGCATTTATCTGTAGTTTGTTCTTTTTATTGATGAGTAGTGTTCCATTATATGTTTATCCATTCTTATGTTAGTGGACATTGGGGTTATTTCCAATTTTTAGCTTTTAGGAATAAGGCTGCTATTAACATTCTTGTATAAATCTTTTTGTAAAAGTGTTTTCAACTTCTCTTGGGTAAATACCTAAGGGTAGAATTGCTGGAACTTTGTTAGAAACTTCTGAACAATTTTCTAATATATTTTATCAGGGCTTGTTACTGGACTGAATGTGGTAAGGAAAGGCAAGTGAAATGACAGAATTAATGCCAACATCTACATTTTTACCATAAGGAACTAAGTGATTGGTTGTGCCATTTTCTGAGATGAGATGATCAGAGAGGGGAGCAAGTTGAGGGTGTGGTGATAAACTAGGAGTTGTATTTCAGGTATAAATTTGAAAGCCTGCTAGAAATCCAGTGGAAATGTCAAATAGGCAGATATACATGTATAAACTTCATGAGAAAAGTCAGGGCTCAAGATTTAGGTTATTGTTATGTAGAAGGTGTCTAAAGTCATAGAACTGGGTGAGACTAACAGGAGTGACTGTTGTGTGTAAGAGAAGTGATGAATCTAGGACTGGACTGTGTCCTTCAGCCCACCAACAGCTAGAAATCTGGCAAAAGAGCAGAAAGGATTGACACCATCTGAGAAGGAAACCAGAAAGACATGTTGTCAAGGAAGTCAAAATTAGAAAATGTTTCAAGAAGAAGGTGATGAACAGTTATGTTAAAGGTGCTTAAGAAGTTGAGAAAGATGAGGATATAGAATTTTTGGATTTGGCAACATATAAGTTATTGGTGACCTGGAACTGTTTTGGCACAGTGATGGGTTCAGAAGCTTACCTTTGAATAAAGCACAAGATGTGAGAAAATTGAAGCAAGTACAGACATCTCTTTAAAGAAGCCGTTTTTGTGTATGTGAGGAGGAGTTGTTGAATGGGGCAGTAGCTGAAGGAGAATGGGAGGTCAAGGAAGAGGATTTTTTTTATCTCAAGTGAGGCAAGACATGCTTGATATCTCTCTTCTCATTCCTATTCTCACTGCCTGAACCATCACCAAAATTTTATTTATTTTACTTCATCAATTGCTCAAATCTGTCAATTTCTCTACATTACCACTGCTACCACCTTATTCAAGTTATCAGTATCCCCCACATAGACTACTGCAGTAGGAGTTACAACTGACCCTTACCCTCTCTGTTCTCATTTACTCTCTCTCCACACCTCAGCCAGACATTTTCCAAATGCAGATCTGAGTAAGTCACCCTACCCTTATACCCCATCCCCACTATATTATAAAGAATGTCCCATTGCCTTTAGAATAAAGGCAAAATGACATGTGGTCTACCCATGCGTACTCCCCAATTTTATCTCCCACTTTCCCTCTTGCTTTCTGTGCTTCTGCTGCACTACTCTAATCTGTCCAGGAGAGCTTTGTACTTGATATTCTCTCTGACTAACATATTCTTCCTCTTACATCTCCCCTCTTCCACCACACCCTACCTAAAAATTACTAGTTTTTTTCAGATGCTCAAGTCAATTATCCCTTCCTCAGAAAAGCCTCCCCAACCTCTCTAACCAGGTTATTAAACTTTGTTATATTCTCACACAGTACAAGGTAGTTTTCCTTGATAACACTTTTCACAGTTGTAATTTTTCATTTTCTTTTGATTCTTTTATTGATGTCTGACTTGCATACTAGCATTTAAGCTCCATGGAAGCAATGGCAGTCTCATCAGGGTAGTTACTGTGCTTTTTTTCACTTGCCATTATACAAAACTCAGCTTAATGCCTGGCACATAGTAAGTACTCAATAAATATTTGTTAAGTGAATTAAATTCGATGAATGAATTAATCCTAATTGTTCATACCTCATTAAGGAATATAATGATCTCTTGAATTAATTTGGAAATTTTCTAGTACTTGTGGAAAAGGAAATGGCAATGAGCATATTTTTTAAATTGTTGAGTTTAGAATAACTGAGAGAAAGTACATTTACTTATAAGTTAAGTATTTTTCTTTAATCGCCTGGATTTACTTTCTGGCTTGTTATTTTTAACCCTCTCTCAGAATTGTGTAGCATAGATAAAAATCACAGGTACTTATCTTGCACAAATCATTAGTTTCAATTCTGTTATCTCCCACTTACTTTTGTCAAAGATATCATTAAATATAAAACTGACCAGAGGGGTGGAGCCAGGATGGCGGCGTGAGTAGACAGTGGAAATCTCCTCCCAAAATCACATATATCTATGAAAATATAACAAAGACAACTCTTCCTAGAATAAAGACCAGAGGACACAGGACAACATCCAGAACACATCCACACCTGTGAGAACCCAGTGCCTCACAAAGGGGGTAAGATACAAACCCCGGCCCGCAGGTCCCGAGTGCCCCTCCCCCCAGCTCCTGGCAGGAGGAGAGAGGTCTGAGCAGGAGGGAGAAGGAGCCCAGAACTGCTGAACACCCAGCCCCAGCCATCCAGACCAAAGCGCAGACACAGTGCATGTGCAGGGCCCTGGATACTAGGGAAACAGGGCAGCAAGAATGGTGAGCGGGTACCGGAGGCTGGCGCGGAAGGACAAAAGAAAAGCAAGCAGTGACCATCTTTTTTTGTTGTTGTTTTGTTGTGGTGAGTGCTTTTTGGAAGTCTTAAAGGGACAGGGTCTCCAATACTAGGGAAACAGGGCAGCAAGACCGGTGAGCAGGTATCAGAGACTGGCACCGGAGAACAAAAGAAACGCGAGCGGCCACCTTTTTTTCTTTTTCTTTCTTTTTTTTTTGTTGGTTTGTTGTGGTGAGTGCTTTTTGGAAGTCTTAAAGGGACAGGGACCCCAATACTAGGGAAACAGGAAACAGGGCAGCAAGACCGGTGAGCAGGTATCAGAGGCAGGTGCCAGAGAACAAAAGAAAAGTGAGCGGCCATTTATTTTTTGTTGTTGTTGTTGTTGTTTTGTTTTGGCGAGTGCTTTTTGGAAGTCTTAAAGGGATAGGGACCCCAATACTAGAGAAACAGGGCAGCAAGTCCGGTGAGCAAGTGCCCGAGGCTGGCGCCAGAGAATTAAAAAAATGAGCGGCCATTTTTTAATTTAATTTAATTTTTTAATTTTTTTAAATTTTTATTATTATTATTTTATTTTTTCATTTTTTTGTTTTTGTGGTCGTTGTTTTGTTTTGGAAGGTGCTTTTTGGAACTTTGAAAGGGGCAGGGCAGGACACTTAGTCCAGAGGTAGGGAATCCAGGGATCTCTGGGCACTCTAATCCCCTGGGCTGCAGGGAGCATGGAGGCCCCTTACAGAGATAAATAGCCTCCCAGCCGCTCCCCCTCCAATGC